TTTTGTTGGCAGGGATGGTGTGGGGGAGTGATCATGTGGTCCTCATGGTTCCCGGTTGGCTGCCGGTCACCTGGGGGAGGGGGTGTATATGCATAAGGAACAGTGATGAACCTCTCCCATGGGCAGGGGCGGGAAGGGGAGAGGAGACAACACTCGTCAAACCACCTACGCACCGCCCAGAGGGCTGGTGGGACTTCGCAGCATGGTGCAGCATTCGCAGGATCTTGCCGCCTCGCGTGAGGGTGGAGCCAGCGCGAAAGCAACACATGTAGAACTTTTAGTCATCGAGTGTGGCTACACGCTACAGTGCAATTTGGGGAAGGAGGAGGACGACTGAGGGAGGAGTGCGAAGGAAGAAGAGGTGGGAGAGGAGGACGAGAAGGATGAGCTCGAGGAGGAGGAGGAGGAGGAGGAGGAGGAGGAGGAGGATGGCGGGATGAAGAGTAGGGGACGGATGCGGAGGATGAGGAGGAGGGTAGGGGGGAGGGCAGAGGAGGAGGATGAGGAGCAGGAGGAGGATGCGAGGAGGAGGAGGAGGGGGAGGAGGAGGGGGGGAGGAGGAGGAGAAGGGGGAGGAGGAGGAGGAGGAGGAGGAGGAGGGGGATGAGGAGGAGGAGGAGGAGGAGGCTACAAGGCTGCACGTGCGGCCGAGTTTTCGTCGTTGCAGGCCCCGCTCGACGGAGCCAGTGTTGCCCGACGCATCACCCCCCCCTCCCTCTTGATCTTTTTTTCCATCTCCTCCCTCCATCCTCCTCCCTCCTTCTCCTCCTCCTCCCTCCTCCTCCCTCATCCCGCCTTCGCCTTCCTCCTCACTCCTCCTCCCTCCTCCTCCCTTCTCCCTTCTCCCTCCTCCTCCCTCCTCCTCCCTCCTCCCTCCTCCTCCCTCCTTCTCCCTCCTCCCCCCTCCCTGAGGGAGGCTCCATCGTCCTCATTTCTCCTTGCTTCTTCTCCCTCCTTGTCCTCCCTCCTGCCTCCGCCTCCTTCTCCTCCTTCCTTCTCGTCCCTCCTCATTCCTCCTACCCCTCGCTCCCGCCCGCGGGGGTGGCTGGAACTTTTCTCAGCAAGTCTAATTCGAAGGTGCGTTTCATGACCATCAGGCTGAATGAGGCCATGGGGAAGGGGGGGAGGAGGGGGATGGGATTGGGAAGCGTGGGGAGGTGGGAGAGTGATGGAGAGGGAATTGGAGCTGTGAGTGGACGAGGGAGGAGAGGGGCCGACGGGAGACGAGGGTAAGATTACGGGGAGTGGGGGGATGGGAGGGGGGAGGGGATCTCATGCCATTTCAACAGCATTGGCAACATGCCTGCCAGGATAACCTGTAATGCAGTCGAAGACGCCTACAGCGAGTCACCGCCGCCCCCTGCCCCTTTGGACGCGCCTCTGTGGCCGACAGCTGGGCCAGAGCTTGGCCAAGCTATCGGGCCACTTGTTCCCCGAGTCGGTTTGGAAAGACTTCGGGGAACGCATGGGGGACCAAGAAGAGGAGGAGGGGGGAGAATGAGGAGAAAAAACAGAGGAGGAGGAGGAGGAGGAGGAGGAGGAAGAGGAGGAGGAGGTCTCTTGAGCGCCTCTTGGGGCACTCTTGGGGCCTCCTGGGGGCTTCCGGGGGGGCCTCTTGGAGGGTTTTTGGTTGCCTTTGGGGGCTTCTTGGGGGCCTCTTTGGCCGTCTTAGGGCGTGCCTGGCTTGTCTGGATCGTCTTGGGGCCCTCTTGGGGCACATCGGGGGTTCTTAGAGGCCATATTGGACGTCTTGGAGGCCTCTTGGGCCGTTTTGGGGCCCTCTTGGGGCCGTCTTGGGTGCCTTTTTGGCCGTCATGGGGCCATCTTGGAGGCCTCTTGGGCGATCTTGGGGGCTTCTTGCGCCGTCTTGAGCCGTCGGAATCCCGAGAAAAAGCAAATGCCAAATGCAATGATTTTGGCCTCGTCGTGCCCTCCTGGAAGGTCTCCTGGACGCCTTTTTGGGCCATCTTGGAAGCCCGTTGGGCCCTCTTCGGGCCGTCTTGGGGCCTCTTGGGCCGTCATGGGGCCAGCTTGGAGGCCTCGTGGGCGATATTGGGGGCCTCTTGGGCCGTCTGGAGCCGTCGGAATGCAGAAAAGAAGCAAATGCCAAAATCCTTCAACAACCAAAGGAACATCAATGACTTTGGCCTCTTCGGGCTCTCCTGGACGACCTCTTGGAGGCCTCTTGCGCCGTCTTGGAGGCCTCTTGGGGGCCTCTTGGGCCGTCTTAGGCCATCTGGAGGCCATCTTAGGCCGTCTTTGGTGCATCTTGGGCCGTGATGGAGGCACCTTGGGGCCATCTTAGCCGTCTTGGAGGCCATCTTGGGCGTCTTGGAGGCCTCTTGGGCCATCTTGGGGCCCTCTTGGGGCCATCTTGGGAACCTCTTGGGCCGTCATGGGGCCAGCTTGGAGGCCTCGTGTGCGATCTTGGGGCGATATTTGGGGCCTCTTGGGCCGTCTGGAGCCTTCGGAAGGCCGAAAAGAAGCAAATGCCAAAGCTCATGGACAGTCACAGATTTGGGCCTCTTCGGGCCCTCTTGGAAAATCTCTTGGATGCCTCTTGGGCCGTCTTGGAGGCTTCTTGGGCGAACCTGGAGGTATCTTGGAGCCTCTTGGGCCGTCTGGGAGGCCATCATGGTCCATTTGGGGCGAACTTGAGATCATCTTGGCCGTCTTGGAGGCATCTTGGAGGCCATCCTAGGCCAGCAGGGCGGTTTTGAAAACCATCTTGAGCCGCCTTGGGAGAATTTTTGGGAGAATTCCGGGCCTTTCGGGTGGCCGGCGGGACGGGCCGAAGCCCCAGGGGAAGTTGTTTTGGAAAAGAACCGAAACCAAAACCGAAATAACCTAGCACGCCGGGCAGCCTTGTGGGGGCTATTGGGCGCCTCTTGGGGCCTTCTGGGGGCCTCTTGGGGCGGAAGGCTCTTATGTTCGGTTCGTGTTCCCTATCTGCGGCCCTCTTGGGCAGTCGTGGGCGCCTCCTGGGCCGCATTGTGCGCTATTAGGCCGTCCTGAGGCCCGCTTGGAGGCCTCTTGGGCAGTCTTGGGGTGGTCGTGGGGTCCTCGTGGGCCACCTTCGAGCGTCGGGAAGCCGAAACGGCGAGGACGCCAAACTCCTTCAACAACCTACAGAGAATCAGCGGTGTGTGTGTGTGTGTGTGTGTGTGTGTGTGTGTGTTTTCTTGGCTTTCTTGGGCGCACCTCTTGGAAGTCTCGTGTGGCGTATTGGAAGCCTCTAGGGCCATCGTGAGGTCATTTTGGGCGGCTTGGAGCGATCGTTCGGTGACTCGGAGCCCTCTTGGGCCCAAGGGAGGTGTCGGGAGGTCGCTTGGGGGGGGCACTGCGTCCACAGGAGGCGTAGGAAACGCTTCAGAACTCACGTGAGCCAGCACGGAACATCTCGGAAAGGCTTGGGACACGATTGGTCCAGGACCGCAGATTCCCATTATTCTCCTTGCAGAAGCAACACAGTGTCTACCTGTCAGAGTTGCATGAGCCTTGGGGCACTCCACTTCGTGCTAGAGGTACGGTGGCGGATCTGTGGGCTGCATCAAGGCAGTTTCCATGAGCTGGAACAAGTAATATTGTACGTGGGGGCTTCTGGTGTATAGCTTGTTTACTGCAGCACTTCCTGGTAAAAAGTCGATCTACTCCGCCCCTGTCTTCGCTGTCCGCAGCCTCCTCATCTGCCCCCCCCATTATCGGTTCCTTTGACTCTCCTTCAGCCGCTTCTACTAGTTTGCCCGAGAGCTCGACATGCGAACTAATTGCTTGTAAAGATCGACGCCTCCGATCCACCAGGCGATATTACTATCTGCCTGACGCCTCCTCCTTTCGCTCCTTTTCTTGTTCCCTTCTGCTCCATCTCGTTTATGTCCTCGCCTTCGACCTCGACCTCTTGCACCCCATCTCCCGCCTCTTGATATCGCTATTCTCCTGACGCCTGATCTGCCTCCTCCCCTCGTTCTCCCCGTGTTCTTTCCCGTTCGGGACATTACTCCTTTTAGTTATCCCGTATCCCCTCCTCTGCTGCATATGTTCTTCTCTTTCTCTTCAATCACCCGCCTCCTTTTCCATGAGGGGCCGACCCCCCTTACGTCCTCCAGCCCCCCCCACGGCGAATTCTCGGGGGACATCCGTTTGATTTGTTTTGCACCCACCCACCCTACAGCCGGCGCGCCTCGCACGGAAACGTTCCATGTGTTCCAGCACCCACCCTCCCTCCGCGGAACCAGACATTTGCGGAATACGGTTTGGCATTGGTCGGCAGCATAGTTGTCGACATTTGCCCACCTTCCGAGGGCCAACACACATGCAGATTGCGACTTGTGTTGAACATCGTATTTTCGCGCCCACCCACCCGCCCAAAGCCCCCCCGCCCCCGCCTCCATGCGGCATCCGCAGTTTCGTCGGTGGGTCGTCGTCGTCGTCGTTTGCTGAAAGCTTCTGAGCTTCTCATAGCTTCTGAAAGGCCCATGGAGCTATTGGAGCTTCCTGAGAGCTTCTGGGAGCCTCTCATAGCTTCTGAGAGTTTCTGGGAGCTGTCTTGGAGCCCCTGAGTGCCTCTGAGGGTGCCTGAGAGCCTCTGAGAGCCTCCTCTCGGTGCTTCTGAGAGCCTCTGGGACCACCTGGAAACTTTCTGAGAGCTCCTGAGAGCCTATGCGAGCTTTGGAGAGTTTTCTGAGAGCTTCTGAGAGCTTTCTGAAATCCTCTGGTAGCATTTATTGTGATCCGACAGCTTCTGAGAGCTTCTGAGAACTTCTGAAGCTTTCTGCTTCTGAGAGCTTTCTGAGTGCCTCTGACAGCCTCTGGGAGCAGAGCCTCTGAGAACGTTCTGACAGCCTCTGAGCTTCTGGGAGCCTCGGAGAGCTCTCCGTGCCGAATCGCCGTTTTCCCACCATGCGCCGCGAACCCGAGCCCAACTTGCTATGTCCCGCTGTCGCCGATGCGTCGACGATGCGGCGCCATCGACACCTAGCAGACTGCACCCTCGGCCGCAG